CCGAACCCCCCGCCGAACCCCCCGCCGAAGAGATGCAAACGGAGCCGCCGCCGCCGCCGGCCTTCCCGCACCAGCCTCTTGCACTACCCCTGCCCTCCGCATGCCCCCCGCCACCAAAACCCCTGGACGGCGTCCCCCCGGCTTCCGACTCTCAGGAAAGGGGTGCCCCCGGGGGGGGCCCCCAAATTCACTCGGCGCCGGCGGGCTCGGCCGGCTCGGAGGAAGCGCCGGCTGCACCCCCGGCGGCCACCTCAGCCCCCATCATGGTGGATGACAAGTTGGAAGAGCTGATCCGACAATTTGAAGCTGAGTTTGGGGAGAATTTCAACCTGCCGCCCCCCGAAACGCCTGCGCTGCTCGCTCCTGGGGCTGCTGAGCTGCCGGGGGAGCCAGCACCAGCGCCTCAAGGGTCCCCCGCCGCCGCCGCCGCCGCCGCCGCCCCGGCCCCGAGCAGCGCTCCCCAAGCCGGACCCAAAAGCATCTCTCCAGGGAAGGGGCTGCTGTCAGAGCCACCCTTCACTGCCCGCTCCCCCAAACAGATCAAAATCGAGTCTTCTGGTGCTATCACCGTGGTGTCTACCACGTGTTTTTACTCTGAGGAAAGCCAAAACCCGGACGTGGACGACGTCGACAGAACACCCACCAAGGACGAGGTGCCGCTGACGCCCACCCTGAGCGGCTTCTTGGAGTCTCCGCTGAAATACCTGGACACTCCGACCAAAAGCCTCCTGGACACCCCGGCCAAGAGGGCGCAGGCTGAGTTCCCCACCTGTGACTGCGTTGGTGAGCGAGCGGCCGCGCTGGGGGGTGGTGAGGAGGTGGCTTTGCAGGGTGGGATTATTGACCGTGGCACCAGCAAAGACCCCGTTTTTGGGGAGGTGAAACCCTGGTGCTGTGGAGCTCCCTTTTGTTTTCTTTTCTCCTCTCTTACATTTGGATGGAAATCTCGTGTCACTGCAGGGGTGGTGCTGGTGCGGGGTGCCGGTGCGGGGTTTGGATGAGCAGCAAAACCAAAGGAACGTTGGGTTTTCCTTCTATTTAACTTAAACCAGCTGAATCTCATGAATCCATGGTGGCCCCAGTGCCAAAATCCACCTAAACCTCCCTCTCACCTGGTTATTCCTGGTACTTTCAGCCAAATTAGCTGGTTCAGGTTGCTTTGAGTAACCCAAACTTTGATGCTTGTGCTTATCACTGGAGAAATACTTGCTGCTGCCTTCTTCGCTGGCCAATCCCACCGGGATGCATCGGAAAATCACCAAACTTTTGGATTTGTGGGGGTTTTTTTTTGTGGTTTTTTCTTCGCTGCGTATTGGCATTTGTTAGACTTTGCAGCAAGTGCTAGAGAATTCCTACCCAGTCTGAGGGAGCTGGATATTCCCTCCCCAATATTTAGATTGGACCTGTGGGCTCCCCTGGGAGGATTTGGGGCATCCAGCTGGAAAAACGACCCTCTCACTGCTGGGAAGAGGAGGCCCAAGCTGCACTTGATTAGTGGGGTTTATGATTATTTATTTATTTGCTTGTAAATGGCAGCAGGAATGAGCCCAAACTCGGCAGAGAGGAGTTTCTGAAGCCGCCCAAACCCAGTCTCGGAGTTTGCCAGGAAAAGGTTTTGTTTAGGGGCTGGCAGAGGGGGGATTCCCCCCCTTCCCCTTCTCTGTTTTCTCAACTGTGGAAGAAATGCAGCAGGAGCCGGGCTCGCTGCTTTATTGGGTGCGGGTGCTGTAATAAAATGAGCCTTTTCCACACACCCCGTATTGATCCCTGTCTGGACAGCTGCAGCCCAGCTGAGCCCGGCTTTCTCCTCAGCCTGGCTCCTGGCCAGCTGGACACGACAGGAATGAAAATCAGGGCGGTGAGAGCAGCGATCAGCCCCAGCCGGCAGCACATCCCCGTGGGCTGGATGCTTGGCGCATCCCTCGCTTCCCCTTCATGCCCTGGAAGCCGCCAGGGGTTTGGGGGCTGTTGGTTCTGGGGCTGTATCCCCGGTGTCCTGTATCCCCTGCATCCTTCGGGACAGCCAGCAGCAAAGGTGCAAAGCCCAAAATCTCTGTCTGTCCCCGCTCCTGTGTCTGCAGAGCAAATCGTGGAGAAGGACGAGGGGCCGTATTACACCCACCTGGGCTCGGGGCCCACCGTGGCCTCCATCCGGGAGCTGATGGAGGAGCGGTAAGAGCCCCTCGCCGCAGGGCCCGGCACGGGGGCTGCGAGTGCAGGAGGGGCTGGGGTCCTGTCAGGGGTCTGGGGGCTTCAGAGAGTGAGTGGGGTCCTGTCAGGGGACTGGGGGCTTCAGAGAGCGAGTGGGGTCCTGTCAGGGGTCTGGGGGCTTCAGAGAGCGAGTGGGGTCCTGTCAGGGGAATGGGGGCTTCAGAGAGCGAGTGGGGTCCTGTCAGGGGAATGGGGGCTTCAGAGAGCGAGTGGGGTCCTGTCAGGGGACTGGGGGCTTCAGAGAGCGAGTGGGGTCCTGCCAGGGGTCTGGGGGCTTCAGAGAGCGAGTGGGGTCCTGCCAGGGGTCTGGGGGCTTCAGAGAGCGAGTGGGGTCCTGTCAGGGGTCTGGGGTCCTGTCAGGGGACTGGGGGCTTGAGAGAGCGAGTGGGGTCCTGTCAGGGAAGTGTGGGTTTGTGAGGGTGAGTGGGGTCCTGTCAGGGAAGTGTGGGTTTGTGAGGTGAGTGGGGGCTCCTGAGAGGCCCACGAAGGCGAGTGGGGCTCCCGTGCGTGTGGGGCCGTGGGGCTGACGGCCGTCCCCCGGCAGGTACGGCGAGAAGGGCAAGGCCATCCGCATCGAGAAGGTCATCTACACGGGCAAGGAGGGCAAGAGCTCCCGGGGCTGCCCCATCGCCAAGTGGGTGAGTGCCTCTCGTCCCCGTGGCAGCCTCCCCGAGCTTGTCCCCTCCTGGGGACCAGGGCACCCCCGGCTGCCGTGGCCACAGTGGGCAGGGGAGGAGTTTTCAGGGCGACAGTGTCCATCCCCAGGGAAACCTGGCTTCCCACCCTCGGCACCTGTGGAACGGCAGCTCCCCAATCCCACGGTGGGAACGCAGCCTGGGGAACATGCCCAGCTCTGGGGAAGGCCCCCAGGTCATCCTGGACACCCTTGTGGGACCCTCCCCACCCCGGGAGGTGTTTACTGGTCTGACTCGGCCCCTCTGGTTGCCAGGTGATCCGCAGACACAACCAAGAGGAGAAACTGCTGTGCCTGGTGCGGCACCGGGCCGGCCACCACTGCCAGAACGCCGTCATCATCATCCTCATCCTGGCCTGGGAGGGCATCCCCCGCACGCTGGGGGACACGCTGTACCAGGAGCTCACCGACACCCTCACCAAGTACGGCAACCCCACCAGCCGCCGCTGCGGCCTCAACGACGAGTGAGTGACACCAGCCCGGGCTGGGGACGCGCGGCGGGAACGGGATGTGGGAGTGGGATGTGGGAACGGGATGCAGGAACAGGGTGTGGGAATGGGATGCAGGAATGGGATGTGGGAATGGGATGCAGGAAGGGGATGTGGGAACAAAGTGTGGGAACGGGATGTGGGAATGGGATGCGGGAACGGGATGTGGGAACGGGATGTGGGAATGGGATGCAGGAACAGGGTGTGGGAATGGGATGCAGGAACAGGGTGTGGGAATGGGATGTGGGAACGGGATGTGGGAATGGGATGCAGGAAGGGGATGTGGGAACAAAGTGTGGGAACGGGATGTGGGAATGGGATGCAGGAACAGGGTGTGGGAATGGGATGCAGGAAGGGGATGCAGGAACAGGGTGTGGGAATGGGATGCAGGAACGGGATGTGGGAATGGGATGCGGGGTTCCCTCCCATTCCCAGATACCGCACGGCACCGGTGCTGACGCTCCTGCGCCGTGTCCCCCCTCCGCAGCCGGACCTGCGCGTGCCAAGGCAAGGACCCCAACACCTGCGGCGCTTCCTTCTCCTTCGGCTGCTCCTGGAGCATGTACTTCAACGGCTGCAAATACGCCCGCAGCAAAACTCCCCGCAAGTTCAGGCTGGTGGGAGACAATCCCAAAGAGGTGGGTGATGGGGTGGACAGCGCCGGTGGGGTGGTGGTTTGGAGCTCCTTTCCTTTCAGGTCTCTGAAAATTGGATTCCTTGTGGGGTGTTTTATGGGCTAGAGAGATGAGGAGGAGAAAGGTGGAAAGAATGGGGCTTTTTTAGAATCCCAGGGAAGAGCCAGAGGGCTCTTTGGTCGAGTGGGTCGAAGCACAACAGACTTTGAGGCTGGAGGTTGAGCGGCCAGATCCTCACGAGGAATTTAAGATACCGTGGGAAGTGTTGGGTGCCGTGTGGTGTCTGTGGGCTCTGTCCCCAGTTCCATCCCTGAATCCCCCGGGTAATCTCCTCCCCTTTTCCCTACCGCAGGAAGAGCTGCTTCGGAGAAGCTTTCAGGACTTGGCCACCGAGGTTGCTCCGCTTTACAAGAGGCTGGCACCGCAAGCCTACCAAAACCAGGTCCTGGTCATGCCATCCCTCGGCGACGGCGGCCCCACGGCTGGAATGGGTGCGGGGTGGTGGCGTTGGGGATTTTGGGTGACCGGCTCCTCCTTCCACAGGTCACCAACGAGGACGTGGCGATCGACTGCCGGCTGGGCTTGAAGGAGGGGAGGCCGTTCTCGGGGGTGACAGCGTGCATGGACTTCTGTGCTCACGCTCACAAGGACCAGCATAACCTCTACAACGGCTGCACCGTGGTAAGCAGGAGCTGGGCAGGGCTGTTCGAGGTGCTCCCCACTTAATTTGGGGTGCTCCTGTTCGTGGGGCGTCATCCCCAGCTGTCCCACCCTCGTGGCTCCGTGTCTTCGGTGTGGGCACAGCTCACATGAGCTGCTCAGGTCTAACAGGAGCCAGCACCGACTTTTGTCCGACCCAAACCCCATGGGAGGTTTCCAAATTCCGGCTGGGATCAGAGCGGGCTGGGGGGATGCCAGGCTGGTGTGGCTTCACGCCAGTGTCGGGGAGAAATGGGAGGAGGTTTGGCTCGTCCAGCACGGGCCACATCCATCAGCATCCCACTGACAACACCTGCTCCGGCCAGGTCTGCACGCTGACGAAGGAAGACAATCGTGTGGTGGGGAAAATTCCCGAAGATGAGCAGCTGCACGTCCTCCCCCTCTACAAGATGTCCAGCACGGATGAGTTTGGCAGTGAGGAGAACCAAAACGCCAAGGTGGGCAGCGGGGCCATCCAGGTGCTCACATCCTTCCCCCGCGAGGTCCGCAAGCTGCCCGAGCCCGCCAAGTCCTGCCGGCAGCGGCAGCTGGAGGCCAGGAGAGCTGCTGCCGAGAGGAAGAAGCTGCAGAAAGAGAAGCTGATGACGCCGGAGAAGATCAAGCAGGAAGCGCTCGAGCTCCCCACACTCCAGCCAAATGCAGGTAACGGGGGCAGAGGTGAGGTGCTGCTGCCCCGAGCCGCCCGGAAAGCGCGTGAGGGGATGGGGACGTGGTCGGGGACTTTCTTGGGCTGCTGTGCCGTGCTCGTGGTGCTGGACGGCTCCTCTGTGGGTTTTTCACAAAGGTGCGAATCGATGCCGCTGCACCAGGTGATGGCAAGCGATGCCAACCTCTGCAGTTGGCTGCAAACCCATCACCGTGGCGCTTCCGAGTCTGGCCGAGTGTTTTGGGGTCCTGGCTCCCCTCCGGTGTCTTCCTCGGCCGGCGGGTCACAGGGGCTGTGTGTGCTGTCCCACAGGTATGGCGTTGAAAGGCGGGCTACCCCCGCAGCCGCTGAAACCTTCCATCAAGGTGGAACCCCAGAGCCATTACAACGCCTTCAAGTACAACGGCAACGCGGTGGTGGAGAGCTACTCGGTGCTGGGCAGCTGCCGGCCCTCCGACCCGTACAGCATGAACAGTGTTTACTCTTACCATTCCTACTATGCACAGCCCAATCTGCCTTCCGTGAACGGGTTTCATTCCAAGTTCGCGCTCCCCTCCTTCGGGTATTACGGCTTTTCCAGCAACCACGTGTTCCCCTCGCAGTTTCTCAATTACGGGGCGCCCGAGAGGAGCGGGAGCGGCTGGGTGAGCAACGGCTACGAGAAGAAGCCCGACGTGTCGGCGCTGCAGGAGAACCTCAACCACACCTATGGGAGCGGCAGTTTCCCTGAGCCCATCCCGCACGGCGTGCGGAGCAAAAACCATCACCAGCGCACCTACGAGCGAGCCAACCGCTACGCCAGCCAGCAGAAAGCAGCGGCGGCAACGGCCGGGGCGCACAGGACTAGCTCGGGCTCGGAGGAGGCGCCGTCGTTTGCACAGAACTGTTTCGGCAGCCGGCCCATCAAGCAGGAGCCTCCAGACCCCCCGCCCGCCATCGAGCCCCTTCCCAGCGCCGCGGCCGCGGCCGGCGCCGGCTTAACGCTGCCGGCCGTCCCCGCGCACGGCGCGGCGCCGGAGCAGCGCTGGAGCCCCTTCAAGGCGCCGCGGGGCGCGGCTTCCCCCGAGAGGACTAGCACGGCCGAGGGCTCGTGGAGCGGGCTGGCGGCGGGCTCGGGCGGGCGGGAGAAGCTGAGCGCCTTCGACGCTGCCGTGCGCTTGCCGCCGCCGGAGAAGCAGTGGTCCAACGTCCTGGCGGGAGAGGCGGCGGCGCACGGCTCGGGCTTGCTGCCGAAAGCGTGGAGCCCCTGCAAGCTGGGAGAGACGGCGCTGGCTGGCACGGGCACCCCCAGCCTGCTGGGGTCACTGGGGTTCAGCTCGGCTCTGCCAGGGCTCCCCGGCTTCCCCGAGGAGCCCTGGGGCTCCGTGAAGGTGGAGGAGAGGAGGACGCCGGCACCCAGCCCGGGGCTGCCGGAGAAGCCGTGGGAGGCAGCGGCGGGCGAGAAGGGGGTGGCGGGACCCCGCCGGGAGAAGCCGTGGGACCCTTTTGGCCTGGAGGAGGATCTGCCTCCAGAGAAGGCGGTGAAGGAGGAAGAGGAAGAGGAGGAGGAAGAGGAGGAGGAAGAGGAAGAGGAGTGGTCGGACAGCGAGCACAACTTCCTGGATGAGAACATCGGCGGCGTGGCCGTGGCGCCAGCCCACGGCTCCATCCTCATCGAGTGCGCCCGCCGCGAGCTGCACGCCACCACCCCGCTGAAGAAACCCAACCGCTGCCACCCCACCCGCATCTCCCTCGTCTTCTACCAACACAAGAACTTGAACCAGCCCAACCACGGCCTGGCGCTGTGGGAGGCCAAGATGAAGCAGCTGGCGGAGCGGGCTCGGGCCCGGCAGGAGGAGGCGGCGCGCCTGGGGCTGCCGCCGGACGCCAAAGCCTTCGCCAAGAAGCGCAAGTGGGGCGGCGCCTTGGCGACCGAGGCGCCCAGCAAGGAGAGGAGGGACTCGGTCCCCACGCGGCAGGCGGTGGCCATCCCCACCAACTCCGCCATCACTGTGTCCTCCTACGCCTACACCAAGGTGACGGGCCCCTACAGCCGCTGGATCTGAGACGGAGGCGACCACCGTGGCCCCATCTTACCTCAACCCTCGGCGGCGCCGGAGCCCGGCGTTGCTTCGTGGTGCTTTCTCCTCGGGCGTGGGGGAGAAGAAAACAAAAAGTAAATAGACGAAAGCGAAGCGAAAACACAACAACCAGAAAAATAAAAATAAAAAAATAAAAATCAAAAAAATCCAACCCCATAGGAAACGAACCCAACGGGAGCGGCGGAGCTGGCGCGGGCTCAGGCCGTCGGAGAGCTGCGCCCGGCGAGGAGTTGGCAAACCAAGCGAAAACTTGGTTGGAAAACCCAAGAGGAAAGATGCTGTTTGATGATTTTAGGTAATCTCATATTTATATCTCCATGTTTTTTAATCTAGCCTCGGATGAATTTCCTAGCGTCCTTTCGCAAAGGAGAGGTTTTTAATTCCACTTGAAACGGCCTGTTTGTTGGGTTTTATTTTATTTCATTTTTTACTCCGATGACAACGACGAAGCCGATCTTCAAAAGAGAAGCCAACATCGAAAAACCACCCTAATCATGAATCCAAACCAACCCGAACACCAAACCAGCTCAAAGGCAAGAGGTGACCCCCTCCAGCTCCGCCGCGGGGGCTGCAGGGACCGTGTGCTTTACCGTAAGCCGGACACGCTGAACATCCAATTATTTTTATTCCTAAAGGACCTAGAAAACACCAGTTTTGCAGCTGGAGGAATCCTTTCTCACAGCCAGCGGGCTGTCCCGGGACGGCGCGTCTCCGCTGGGTTCTGCCGCCCCGGCGGGATCGGTTCTGCCGCCACGGAGCAAGCCGGCGTCTCTCCCGGCGCCGGAGACCTCAGGACACGTCCGGGCTGGGGAACGCCGCTGCCGGGGGGCCGCGCTTGGGCTCGGACTTGGGGCTCCTTTGCCCACGGCCCCAGGGCGAGCGGCAGCGGCGGCGTCTCCGTAAGAGCCGACAGGACAAAAACAGAAGAAAAAAAAAAAAAATATATAAAAAAAAATACAAAAACCAGGAAAAAAACCCCCACAAACCAACCCCAAACTGTGAATAGCGAGTGTTGCTCTCTGTACATCACTGTTGCTAAAGTCTGGTGCTTTCCGTCTCCGGGGGACTTTCTCCGTGCAATCGGCTCCGGGAAGAGCGAATCCCAAGACTTGACTGGCCAAAACCCCGCCGGGTCTGCCTTCCCTGCCGGTGCCGGCGAGCCGCGGCCAGCGCCGCCGGGGCTCGGTGCTCTTTCTCTCCCCGGGTGCCATCCCTCCTTCCTACGGATCACCGTTCTTCCCGCAAAAAAAAACAAAAAACAAACGAAACAAACCCAGAAACCCAACCCAGCAACGACAACAACCACGTGGTGCTTTTGGAACACTCTCAGTCCAGACTTCCCGCCCGGCGCTCGGCACCGGAGCCGCGCCGGGACAGACGGAGCGCGGCCGAGCTGCCCCGCGGCTCACCGGGAGCGCGGCGTGGCCGGAGCCGTGGGGCCGGCGTCCCCCCGGGGTTTTTGTGGGGGGAGTCGTTGCTTTTGCACTTTTTGGTGCCTTTTGGAGAGCCAGCGAAGGCAGCGCCGACGCCGTCACCGTGCCGGGATCACCTCGTGTTTACTGTCACCCCTCCTTCCCTCGCGGCACGGATCAGCAGGATCTCGGTAAAACAGCCTGAACGTTTATGTGGTCTGATTTTAAACCTGTAAATAGGGAAAGAAATTTTTTTAAAAGCACTTTCACCTAGATTTAAAAAAAAAAAA